GGGTTACCTCTGCTGCCTATCTCGCTATGCGTGTCTTACATGAACTTGCCTCTTTGAACGCGGATCAGTATCCTGCCGTTGCTGAAGCTCTTACACAAGATACCTTCGTTGATGACATCATCACGGGTGCCGATGACGTTCCATCTGCCAAGCTACTTCAACGACAGCTAGTAGATGTTCTAGCACAAGGTGGCTTTCAGTTACGCAAATGGGCCAGCAACAGTCCCGAGGTCTTGGCTACATATCACATCATATCACCAGCCCTTTTACGTCCCCACTGCAGGGGCTCAGGCCTTCCTTATGGATGGTTAAGGAGGATGGGCCATGACCCTCCACGCTGGCCCAATGCGGATTGGAGGGTATTAACGACTGCAAATGCAGCCGGGACCAACGACTTAACGTGCCTTCCGAAGCACGGAGTAGCTCGAGATAATAATTTTTTTGGTCACCCATCCCGTGACCGACCCTTGCGAATGTTGCTTAACGACAACGATCGCGGGCCGTGGCTACATATCCTGCTGATCATTTGGAAAAACCTCTTCGTTTTGAGTCAGGCGACAATATATTTAAGGTTTTAGGAGTGGAATGGAACTCGGACTCAGATAGTTTCGTCTACCAGGTTTCAAACCTTAGTAGGTCTAGGACTAAACGCGACATTCTTTCAAACATAGCGCGTATTTACGACCCGTGTGGTTACTTAGCCCCCGTTACGTTCTACGCAAAGGTTTTGATGCAACGTGTCTGCGCTTTACGGCTTTCCTGGGATGACCAACTACCAGACGACATCGTTAAACTCTGGGATTCATTCGCTGAAACATTCACACTCCTTAAGCCACCTCAAATACCGAGATATATACTTAACACGGGTACATACTCATGTGAGACTATGGGATTCTGTGATGCATCTGAAAGCGGTTATGCCGCAGTCATCTATTTACGAGTTCAGCACTCTTCCGGTGAAGTTAGTGTCCATCTGCTTCGCGGCCGGTCAAGGGTCGCTCCTTTACGTCAAAGGCTGACCATTCCACGACTTGGGCTCTGTGGGGCTTTGCTTCTAGCTGGTCTAATCAGTCATTATATGGGACTATTTAAAGGGAAAGTCAGCATAAGTGGTGTCACAGCGTGGTGCGACTCTACCATCGTACTTGCATGGTTGCGCACTCCACCGCATAAACTGCAGACATTTGAGGGAAACCGTGTTTCCCAGGTTCAAGGCCTTCTACCGTCCGCAAAGTGGCGTTACGTACCCTCCGCGTCCAATCCTGCCGATTGCGCGAGCAGAGGCGTTACAGCCGATATCCTCGTTGGCCATTCCTTGTGGTGGTCTCCTTTATGGTTAAGGGATGGTTCATCCACGTGGCCGATGACTCCATGCGTCGACTCTGTGATCTTGCCTGGTCTCAGGCACGACGCTGTATCCTCATTGGCTGCAGTTAAGGACAATCATCTCGAACATTCACTTATCACACGATACAGTTCTTTTTCTCGTTTACAACGTATCACTGCTTGGCTCTTGCGTTTTATTCGTAACGCACGGTCTACCAACTTTAGATCTAGTGGATCACTTACAGTTCGGAAACTCAATAATTCTCTTTCTACACTTGTCACGTTGGTGCAAGATGAAGTCTTCGCCGATCATAAATCAGCCATCAACAACGGTCGATCACCTTATGGCCCCTTGCAGCGCCTCGATCCCTTTATTGATGCAAACGGTCTTTTACGCGTTGGCGGTAGACTCGAGCACTCCAATTTGCCTCATGACGTCAAGCATCCACTATTACTACCGAAGTGTCACCATTTGACCAATCTCATAATTGACTATTATCATACGCTTCATTTTCATGCTGGACCCTCCATACTCGTAAACATTCTACGCCAAAAATTTTGGATTTTGTCCGCTCGACGAGTTGTTCGCAATCGAGTATTCCAGTGTCATCGATGCTATAGACTTAGAGCAAAACCTCTAAAGCCTCTCATGGGCAACCTTCCAGCAGGTCGATTACGGCTATGTCATCCTTTTACTCGAGTAGGTGTCGACTTTGCAGGTCCTTTCATCATAAAGGTTTCTAACATGCGCAAGGCAAAGACGCTCAAAGCGTACCTTTGCGTGTTTGTATGCTTTGCCGTGAAAGCGGTACACTTCGAAGTCACATCTGATTTAACAACTCAGGCTTTCATGGCTTGCTTCCATAGGTTTGTCGCTCGAAGAGGAATGCCATCAGATGTTTATTCTGATTGTGGAAAAAACTTTCAGGGTGCTGCAAATCTTTTGAAAGGGCAGCAATTGGCAAACAGCTTAGCACAATTAGGTATCACTTGGCATATGAACCCTCCCTATGCTCCACACATGGGTGGGCTATGGGAATCAACAGTAAAATCAGCTAAACAATTGTTACTGCGCACTGTTGGTGAGCAAGTACTCACCTTTGAGGAGCTGTCTACAGTTTTTGCAAGAGCTGAAGCTGTACTCAACTCTAGACCGTTATGTCCACTCACGGACGACGTATCCAGCCTTGAAGCCTTAACACCCGGTCATTACCTCATTGGTCAGCCTCTCGTTAGCTTGCCGGAGGAAACCGCTGATACGCATATTTCGCCTCTCAAACGTTGGAAACTGGTGCAACAAATATCACATCACTTTTGGAAAAGATGGCAGGGCGAATACCTTCACAATTTGCAACAACGCACTAAGTGGTGTAAAAACATTCCAAATTTACAATTAGGTGATCTTGTTTTAATCAAAGATGACAACACTACTCCACTTAGATAGCGAAAGGGTCTAGTATCTACTCTCCACCCAGGCAAAGACGGCGTCATACGCGTAGTACAGGTTAAAACTGGCTCAGGGTCTTGTATTAGATCTGTATCTAAGGTGTGTCCATTGCCCAAATGCGACTCAAATCAATGAATTTAAATAGTTTCTTAACCAATCTTTTTTTTTTAGTTTAATTTATTTAGATATTTACATCCATTTAGTTTTATAGTACATCAGCGGTAATCTGCAATCAATCCAACGAATCTTTCAGAAACAATATTTCGGATTTTGCATGTTTACCCGAATCTTTTATTTGAAAATCATCTAGCTTAACTCTACATTTGTGATTCTACTAAAGAGCTTAGCAGCTCTTTGGGGGGCGGTTATGTTCGGTTTCAAAATGCGTTACAAATAAGGTATTAAATATGGTAACACAACTTTATTCATCCGTCTACCTACCTTTCCCTTACTTGGACAAATATAAAATAATCGAGGGTAGACAGACAGTCACTGAGAACTGTCTGTTGCATCTCCGCCGCCATAGCGAATGGTCGATCCCGTAAGGTCCCATTCCAACCAAATCTTGAAGCGCGAAAGTGTATACAGCAAATACATAGAAAATCAACGCTGTGTGAAGGAGCAGTTAGGACGATAACAAAATCATCCCAGAACAACGCGGGAGACTTACGACCAGCGGCTTAATACCCTGAGTTATCGAAGAAACTAAAAGTAAGTCCAAACTCCTTTCTGTTCCACACACAAACCATTATCAAATATTAGAGAAAGCATTAATATATCGTCATTGCTATCGTTGCTTCTCTTAGATTACTAAAGAGATGTTACGTGCAAATGCTACTGAAAATATGCTTCGACTGAATCCGGATTTTAAAGGCCCGGACCTTAGCTTATGAATGAATATAACATTAAAGTAATTTGCAAGTTAACGATCTTATTATAAGCTATTTTGTAGTCCCAAGGAAAATGGAATTACATAACTGGATTCATAATAATCAAAGATCAAACAGTAGGTACCCGATGCTTACGCATGATATAATTTTTCCAACAACATTTAAATGATCTTCGGAAGTACTGATCCGATCGTGAAAATTCTTTAGACACAGGCTATAATTTAATTTGAGTGTGTGAAGTCGTGAGCTAATAAGAAAGTATGCCGAATTTTAACCACCGGTAATTATTAGTATAGGTGTATTAATTCTTTTTTTTTAATATATCGGGAATAATTAATAAAAGATCAATTATAACATTCGTGGAAAGCTCAGTTGTTAAAGCAGTTGCCCGGATTCCGAAAGGTCATGGCTTCGAGTCTCATCTCTGAGTGCCAGGTACAAAATGAATTTTTTAAGTATTTTTCATTAAGAATATGTATTTCTACGTTGGAGTTTACGTAAAATCTTTAAATTATATCCGCCTTAACCATCCATAAAGAAGGCCTGAGCCCACACTGGAACGTAAAAGGGCTATTAATGATGTTGATAAAAGTTTTAAAAGATAAAAGCATTATTGCCAACGCCGCAAACTCCAACCGTCTTATTCGGAACTCGTATCATTTTAACCAACTCCAAACGCAACATTTAAAACTAATTTAAAATTATAATTTTGATGTATCAAGAAAATTCGGTTATTAAAAACTTTCGCAACTATCAAAGAGTGTAATTAAGTGTTAAATAAAGTTTTCCGCTTAGATATTTTGAGTTGAGGATGGTTTTATAATAGTCTTTATATGTAAGAATAATGCTGGTTTGGCCGCAGATTATATGATATTTAAATCGTGTAAAGGTTGTTTTGCAGCCACGTCAGCGATCACATTGAGTAAAAGTACTACACTTTTAATTTTTGTGATTCTGTTAATTTAATTATTAAGGTATGTAATAGTTTTTGATCAGAAATAGTGGTCGCGTGATTTTCGTGAATTCACAATACTATACTGAATCATTATATTGCTTATTAATTTAATGTAAAGAAATATTATGGTGGAAGAAGATGAAGAAGGATAATTCCCCTTTATACTCTACATATATATATTCCACATTTCATAAAAATTGATCGGTTCAATAGTTTAGACGTTGAAACGTAACAACCAACTTTTTACAGACAATTATTTTCGCATTTATAATACATATTTATATAGATTATAAGGGAAGCTTAACTTTGAGCTCTCCCAGATAAATTAAATTAAATTAAGGAATCTTTAAAATTACCACTGGCAATTATAATTGGGACTCACCTGGGTATTAAGTATATTGTCAAGTTCTGGAAAACGCAAAAGACTCCCACACATAGATCAGCTACCGCCAAGTTGGCGAGGAAGAAATTTGTGATTGAGCGCAGGCGCCTCGATAAAGTAACCACGAGGATCACGAGGAGATTACCTGTAAAAAATAGACATATTTGAGATTTAATAATTGTCATTTTTATTATTTTATGTGGGCATTTCCTTCTACGTTCATATCATCTGCTCTTTTAGGTTCCCACTGCAGGGGCTTAGTAGGAATCTCAACTGCATACTTGCAATTTACTACTGAAATCCAACATTGCTATATATCTGTCATCATTGATAAATGAGGATGACTTAGCTTAGCACTAATATTATTGGACTTCTCCACGCTGTTCCAATATGGATTGGAGGGTATAAACGACTGCATTTGCAGCCGGGACGTTGATCCCGTGGCACCGAATAGGTCTACTCTAGTAGTAGCCCGAGATACGCTACCGAACTACTCCATCTATATAGATTGAATCAAATAGGAAGAATGGGCAATAACCCATCACGATTACCAAATGACAGTTTATTACCGAATGGTAGGTGGGTATTCAGTCAAAATCCACGACTTAATAATCATGTAGACGGAATAGCTCGAGTAGCTTTAATAAACACACGGAGGAGCTCGAGATATAATTGTGTGGGGTCACCCATCCAATAACCGGCCATTGCGAAAGTTGCTTGCCGCCAGCATCAGAAATCTAATGCACTTAATATTGTGACATCAAGCTAAAATTGGGTACATAATTGCTTATATAAAATTTAGCTTTATGATATTTTATGTATCTGTGAATAGATTAATAACTTAATCTAATAAAAAAATATCAAAAATTTCATGTCAGTGTAAAATGAGAAATATCATCACTACTTGTATTACTCTAGAAACTTAATACTGAATTGGCTTGTATAACATTGCTTATAAGTTCATAATACAGCCTAAGAATTTGCCTATGAACATTTGATTACACTATCTCTCTTAGAGACAGGAGGTATTTCAACGTTTAGATCACAATACTCTTGAATTAAGGCCCTCTTGTACTCCGCTTACGTTTTCATACAAATACGCATCGAGAGTAAGACGCCCTCGCTTGATTTCATATATCATTACTCACAGAAAGAAAACAAATACAGTTATAAATAAAAAAAAAATGTATACTTTAAATTATATCAAAATAATCAAATTAATATATCGTATATATATATCGTATATATATATATATATATATATATATATATATATATATATATATATTATATAGTTGAGATGAAATATATAAATCGTAAAATCATTTAAAAAACCTATTTATAGTAATCTTTGTGATTTTTTTTCTGGGACCGAATTATTTATGTTTCTATTGTTAGCAAGCAATCCATCATATGTTTAATTTGCTCGCGACTTCATCCGTGTGGTAGTTACTTTGAGCAGCATTTCTAACGAATATTTATTTATTCGTTCCGTTATGTACTAATAGGCTCAAACTAATACATTTACATCCTCCATCATCCCTTATTTTATCCCCATGGGGGTTGAATTTATCAAAATCCTATTTAAGCGGACGTCTTCATCATAGTAGCTGCAATCTTTAATTTCAGTTCAATCTGTCGAAAATCTAAGAAGATTTATACAAATTTTCATTCCCTATTTTATCCTCTTGGGAGTAGAATTGATCAAAATCCTTTCTAAGCAGATGCCTACGTCATAACATCTACCTGGATGCTAAATTTCAGCCCGATCCGTCCAGAGGTTTGGGCTGTGTGTTGATAGATCACTATGTCAGTCAGTCACCTTTGATATATATATTTAGATTATCATAAAATAATTTTTATTTGGCAAATAGAACAAAATTGGTGAAATGGTTTCACGAAATTTTCACATTTTAAACCAATTTTATTCTGAGGATATGGTATTATTTACTAAATAAAAATTATTTTGTGAAAATTAAAACATTTTTTTTCAATAATCTGTATGAATAGAAATCGTTTTAATCAAACCCAAATTAAAAGAACAAAAAATAGGATATAAAAAACTTGTCTTCAACGAGAGACAGTCAACGAGAGCGTGCCATTTCTGTTACGTTCAATATCCAATAAACGAACCACATCTGGTAACATCTTGCAATGCTGATAGAACATGAATAGAATGTAAACGGATGTAACAATTACAAAGTGCAATACAGAACATTCATTGATACAATATTGGCAAATTATCAAATTACAATGAAGCCAAAACGTTATTTTATATTGTAACACAGACGAAGAAGTATTTTGCTTACATATCTCTCAAAAGAAAATCAAGTGACAACGAATTTATTTATAGTTAGATAGTGTACTTTTTAGTCAACATGAAAATTAGCACCAGTATATAGCCCAATCTAATAGTGAAAAAATAGGTAAATCGAGGAAAATTCTTTGTAACGTCTTTCCTTCTTTTTATTTAGTATCTATTCTCCATCTCCATTCAATCATTCCAATTCTCCATCTTTATTACAGTAAGGTCTTCAAATTGAAGATTAATTTCTCAGAATCACTCGAGAAATGAAAGGTCCATCCTATTCCGTTTAGTGATTTCATTGTGATGGATTAATTAAATCACAGGATTTACACTCGTAGGATTTATCTAGTGTCGGTTTACCCCGTAAGCAAAATAGATAAGCTTAATTTTATATAAAATCCGTATTATCTATCTCTTTTTTTTAAATTATGTAATTTTATCAATTCTGGATACACAATGCTATACTGAAAAATATTCATAATAAAAAATGCTTCAAAATGGGTTCGAGTCCCATCTCAGAGTACCAAGGTTTTTCATTGAGAATATTTATTTTTTGAAAAATATTCTTACAAAATTGATCAAATATATTAATTTTTCATCTTTATTGAAAGTTTCAATATTTGTTTCGGCTGTTTGGGTGGATTGCCTGACGATTGATAAAAATACGCTCTGTAGTAGCGTAAAAGTAACAAGTGCTTGAAAAATATTTAAAAGCGAACACTGAAGCTCAAAATATATTTGCCTCAATATAAAATATTATAAGTTAAAATATCATTTTCAGAATAAACTGTTATTTTTGTTTCAAATGTTTGAATTTATCAAACCGGTAATGACTGCGAGTATAACATTTTAGTACCTAATCGTAATGTTATCTGAAACAGCATGTTTTTTTGACAATGTCTTCCAAATTTAATCTATAAAATCTGTGACACATATTTTTTTATGCTACTATCAATTATCCAAGCAAACGTGGTAATTACATTTATAGTAAATGCGGTAGCGGATTTGAACAAAAATAGTATTTCATGGATGAGACAAACTTAAACTATTCCAGTCTAAGATTCAAGCGAAGTGATTTCAAATGGCTCTATAACGATAAGAACAATCTTGACAGAATTATCAACACATTTATTTTCTCTCATAAATATTAAGTCTTTACATATGAAATTGGTGTTTAATTATATATTTATTTTTAAGTATAAACCATTGTTATCTATGTACTTTTGCCATCTCATAGGTAGTTCATTGATCCCCTTACTAAAAAAACCATTCGGACGGGAATCAATAAAATCTTTGAAGGAGATTTGCACTGCCGAATCGGAGTTGAATTTTTTCCCTTGCAAGAAGGTATCCAAATTTCAAAAAATATGGTAATCTGTTGGAGCAAGGTCCGGGGAATACGGTGGATGTCTTATACATTCCAATTGAAGCTCTTCTAATTTGGTAGCCGTCTGTTGTGCAGTGTGTGGTCTAGCGTTGTCGTGAAGTAGCAGTGGCGTAGAGCGATTGAGCAGCCTCGGTTGTTTAATAGCTATTTTTCCAGCATGGTTTGCAATTGCTGACAACAGACATCTGCCGTGATCGTCTGGCCAGATTTGAGAAAACTGTAATGAACGACACCGGCACTAGTCCACCAAACGCTTACAAGTAACTTTTTCAGGGGCAGGATTTGGCTGGCATGCCAGGGTCCAACCATTGCGATGAGCGATGCCGATTATCGTAGAGAATCGAAGCGCGTTTGCCAGTTCGCTTCACTCAATTCGTGAGGTACCCACCTTTCAAGCTCTTAATCTTTCCAATTTGCTTCAAGCGGATTAAAACAGTTTTATCACTAGCAGCGCAGCCTGCCTAGCTACCTCAGACGCGATTTGCGATGGATCCGCTTCCACAATAGTCTTCAATTCTTCATTATAAACTTGGGTCACCGACCGTCCACGGGGCTTATTCTGCATGTCGAAATTTCCAGAACAAAAACGTTGGAACAAAAAAACGCAATGTGTTTTCTTTTGCGATACAACCGCCATACACATCATTAACCCTTCGAGCTGTGGTACCACGGTGGAACTCGTATTCGTGACTGGCACAATATTTCAAGTTTTCCATTTTTTATACAGGGTGACGTAAATAAGACAAACAGAAGAAAAAAACAACAAATGAATACCACCTAACAAAACACAATTACATGTGTAAATGGCTGTATAAATTTGAATTTGGGATTCCCAACCAAGGAGGAGAAATTTGTGATTAAAGTGGCCAGTACGACTAAATGTAAGGACCTAATAAATATAAGGCGCTACGGCGAAAATTACTCCTAGTTCTGCATTACCTTTCTGTGCTTTACAATAAAGTTGACTGTCCTCACATATTAGAGAGATTCAGTTTTTTTGTGCCTGTGCGCATCTCTAATAACGATATGGGTTTAGTGGCACCGCGACGGCGTCCGCGGCTGTTATCCACGCCCCGCACGCGTACTGTAAAGGCAGGCGCAAGCACCTACTATACATGCACTGCATCTCATTGGTTAAATCCTTGCTCAATATGAAAAAATTGATGTATTTTTTGATGGTATTACTCGATTAGCTATAAGTGCTCGACATTTCTAAACCAGTACTGACTGTGTGATTGATTATCTGTGACTGTTATTATTATTATTATTTTCTTGACATATTATTTTAATTTATATGACATTTATTTTAGTTTATTATTTTAATGAAATGCGTAATATTCTTTAATTTTACTAAACTAAACTGACATTAATAAAAATAAAAAATAAAATAAATCTTTATTTGGTGCAGTAAAATAGGTACAAAATCAATTGCACGTTAATAGCTGCATTA